CCGACAAAGAGAAGATAGGCATTGGTGCTACGTACCTGAATGGGTATGCACTAACGTGGTGGCAACACAAGACTTCTTATCAAGGCATCGGCACATGGGAGGAATTCAAGATGGAGTTCTGGAAGTACTTCACTCCACAGAATGCCGAGGAGGAATTACGAGAGAAGCTCTATGTATTAAGGCACACGGGAGATTTGCGCAGGTATGTGGAGGATTTTGCCAACCTATGCCTCCAACTTCCTAACCTAAGGGATGAGGATGTCTATTTCCTTTTTAAAGGTGGCCCCAAACCTTAGGTGAAGATCGAGTTGAACCAAAGGAACATGAGGACGCTACAGGAGGCGATGGATGTGGCAGAGTCCCTCACAGAATTGAAGCTTCAAGAGGAGGAGACTCTCAAGAAGAATGGCAAGGAAAGCTGCACGAAGATTAGTGATGATAAGGAAGGCTTACCCAAGCCAAGGATGACGAAGAAACCTAATAGGAGCAACGGTCGTCCCCCTGTTAAGTACTACATCTGTGAAGGCCCTCATTACTCAAGAGAGTGCCCTCACAAGCACCAAATAGCTAGGATGTGAAAGGATGACCCCGAGCCCTTGGACAAGGGCAAAGGAAAGATGAAAGAAGAAGGAGATGCCCGATGATTGAGATCCTTAAGGATCCTAGGCTCCATCAGGACTTATCACCGAGAGAAGGAAGTAACTAGGTGAACTAGACCAATGGAGAACCAGAGAAGAAGGCAAAGATGCCATCAGTTGGGGAAAAGACCCATACAACGGTTGACCCCAAGGAACAAGCATTGGGATCGCTTGGACACTCTCCAGTCGAGGGGAAGACTGGGATTAGGTTGCTATCAAGGGAAGAGCACCCTTGAAAGAGGAAGACGAGGTCAAAAGTAAGGAGTTGATGACCATGAAAAAGGCTTATGAGCTAGGCATTCTCCAAGAAGGCACGCCGACCGTGGCCAAAGGGGTATTGGCATAGAAGGACGAAAGGCGTGAGAGGACCACAGGGGTTGGTCCTAGGGTTGGTAACACCCACAAGGAGATGCGACACTTAGGTTGCACGGGTCAACCACAAGCCAAGATTGGAAGTGGCTCTATCAAGGGGAGAGGAGATCATTCAAGGAAGGCCGCAGGCAGCCAAAACAGGAATTAGGAGGCACTTATCCGTGAAGGGCTACAAGTGGGTACTTTGGGTGGTCTGCGCCTCATCACGAAGGAAGAGTTGGGTCAAGGCAATGGAGGCACTTGGATGAGATAGGAGAAGTCGTTAAGTTCTCCAACATTGATAAAGGTGTCGACGGATTCAGTGGGGGAGAGTGTAATGGGCCTCCTCAATGGCCTGTGTACACGAGCACGTCGCGATGTGGTGCAACGCCGAGGAAAGGATCATCAAGGTGATGATGGGGACCCAACTGAGAGAGAAATGAACAAAGCGCCTAACGAAAGCAAGGCAGCCTATGGGAGACGAAACCAGGAATGGTGGGGGAGAATGTTTCCAAAGGGAGCCGAGCATCGGCACACGATCATCTGGGAACCATTAAGGAGAGATGGATTGAGGACAGCCACCAGGAAGTAGCGAAGGCACAAATTAGCGGAGCTGAGGAGCCTCCGAGGCGCGCCACACCTCGGACCCTAACCAAGGCACGGAAGCTTCCAGAACCGAGCTGACGTGGCAGATAGGCTAACGACACATTGGACGAACACGTGGAAGGCACGTGGAGCGGGTGTGCCTGGCACACGCTAGAGCATGGCCTGGGCACGCCAGGCCTTAGGTTACAGTGTGCCCCAGGTGCATGGGCTGCATGGGCAGCGCTGCGAGGTGCGTTGCGCCTGTGCCACCTGTACATTGCTGTATTTATGAAAATGCCATTGATTGTTGCCTATAAATAGGGATCTCTCCCTCCCCATTTGTGAGCTAGGCATTCTCCAAGAAGGCACGCTGACTAGGGCTAAAGGGATATTGGCACAGAAGGACGAAAGGCGTGAGAGGACCACAGTGGTTGGTCTTGGGGTTGGTAACACCCATAAGGAGATGCGACACTTGGGTTGCACGGGTCAACCACAAGCCAAGACTTGAAGTGGCTCTATCAAGGGGAGCGGAGATCATTAGGGAAAGCCGTAGGCAGGCAAAATAGGAATTAGAAGGCACTTATCCGTGAAGGGCTACAGGTGGGTACTTTGGGTGATAAGGCTTCGCTTCATCATGAGGAAGAGTTGGGTCAAGGCAGTGGAGGCACTTGGATGAGATAGGAGAAGTCGTCAACTTCTCCAACGTTGACAAGGGCATCGACGGATTTAGTGGGGCATTGTCACAGGCCTCCTCAATGGCCTGTGTACACGAGCACATCGCAATGTGGCACAACGCCAAGGAAAGGATCATCAAGGTGATGATGGGTACCTGGCTGAGAGAAAAATGAGCAAGGTGCCTAACGGAAGCAAGGCGGCCTATGGGAGAGACGGAACTGAGAATGGGTGTGGAGAATGTTTTCAAAGGGAATCAAGCATCGGCACACGATCATCTGGGAACCATCAAGGAGAAATGGACTGAGAACAGCCACCGGGAAGCAGTGAAGGCGCGAATTAGCGGAGCTGAGGAGCACCTGAGGGCGCCATGCCTTGGACCCTAACTAAGGCACGAAAGCTTCCAAAACCAAGCTGACGTGGCAGATAGGTCACTGACGTGGCGGATAGGCTAACGACACATTGGACGAACACGTGGAAGGCACACGGAGCGGGTGTGCCTGGCACACACTAGAGCGTGGCCTGGGCACGCCATGCCTTAGGTCGCAGCGTGCCCCAAGTGCGTGCGCTGCATGAGCAGTGCTGCGAGGCGCGTTGCGCCTGTGCCACCTGTACATTGCTGTATTTATGAAAATGCCATTGATTGTTGCCTATAAATAGGGATCTCCCCCTCCCCATTTGTAACCATCCAAGCTTGAGAGTAATAAAAAGTTTCTTGTACTTTTTCTCTCTAAAAGTGTGTTCTTCTCTCTCTCTTTAGTTTCTTTGAGTGTTTGAGAGTGAGTTGAGTGAGACTTTTGGGAATATCTTCCTTAGGGTCATTAGAGTGAGAAAGTGAGCTTGGGAGTGTTAAGATCAAAGCTAGACTAGAAAACCTTGCCCTCTCTAAAGTTGTATGTGAATGGTTGGCTTGTTAGTGTGCCGTACAAGGGTTTGAGTTAGTTTTGACTCTTGAGTAGCCTTGGGCTGCTCGAACGTCGTGCCATTAACACCATGTCCAATTATTGGTTAGATTTCAACAAGTTTGGGACTTAATTGAACATATATTGAGTTTCGAGCCGGGACCTAAATTTAATAGATATCTGAAAATATTAACCATGAACAAGCTTTTAATTATAAAAATTATTTATAAAAATTATAAGTTTAGATTTATGAATTTAAAATTGGATAAATAAGTATTAATATAGTTGGTTTAATTACTGATCTGTACATGTGCCTCTTTAAATCTAAATCTATATTTTTAATACAGGTTTGGGTTTAGGTATTATGAAAGTCACTCCAAACATATCCCATTACTATCCTTAAGTTGAACGGCCAAATTGAACATCAGTGTTAGTAGAAGGGCTGATAATGGATTTACCCAGAAAAATTATTATTTGTTCAACCCTTTTTAATATTTTTTTTCGCTTTCTTTTGACTCTGACGTGTACTCTCAGGCCATCATTTTTGTCCTAGTCTATCCATTTTCTCAGAGCTTGTACAGAAGGATCAATAAAGGAGTTGCAGAATTGTTGTGGTTACAGCTTGTATGGCTTTTTGATTGGTGGGCTAACATTAAGGTATTGAGTTGTATTTACTTGTCTGGTCATTAATTTTGAACCTGTTGCTGCGTGAAAACGTTAAATGAATAATTCTTAATTTTATATAAGCATCCAAAGTTAATAGGCGAATGGTTACAAGGCAAAATAATCAACAAGTGATTGCTTTTAGTTTATTTATTGATTTTTTAAAATTTTTTAATTTTATTTGTTGTTCTATTCTTTTCTTTTGATATTTATCTTTACGCACACATATATACACAGAATAGAATTATCAAAAATTATTAATCTTAAATATTAAGGCCCATGACACATTTTTTTAAATTGGAGCATAAATATCACATGTACTTGATCCTAATCTTAACTAGTGTTTAAGGGCAAATTTATAATAGTAGTATTTTTTTTTACTTATGAAAATAGGTTGGCGAGAGAAATTATTTACAAAAATATGTTAATTTTTCTTAATTGAGGAATCAGTTTCTGAGAGACCAATTTCTATAAAAAAAAATCGTTTGTTGGGATAGGAGAACCAATTTTAGTTGGAAAATCTAAATAAATCATTCTTCCCCCATAAATTACACATTATATAGCATATTATATTTGTATAGTATAATATATTTTGAATCATATTAATAAAAATTACTTTCTAATAAAGAAAATAATTAATTATCCAAAAAATATGAACAGAATAATGATAGTCAAGTAACAAAAATAAACTATACATTAAGATTGATTTTTTTATTCTATATATATATATATATAATTACATATTTTGGTTTAATTTATATAATTTATTTATACATAAATATTAAATCAAATCATATAAAAAATTATTTATAAACTAAATTAAGCTGTAATTTAAATAATTTTTAAATAATTTAGTTTGATTTATTAAATAACTTGACTCTGACTTTAGGGTTGTTTCTAGAAGGTCATCGAAGGAGAAGGAGTGGGTTAGGATTTTGGAACTGGGCGTCTAATACTTAAATTTTTTGGCTACTATTTCAAAAAATTCACGTGTTGTGGCCAATCACGTGTGTTATTTTATTCTAATTTTGAGTGGGGAGGGGGTCAGGGTATTTGGGCACTTGATTGCTCAAGTTAATAGTGGGGAGACCAGCAGAGGATTTCCATATATTTGTGGGGCCCTTTTGTAAATAATAGTTGTTACCTTTGGCAGGTTAAGGTGTTCACAGAATCAGAAACTCTTGAACAAATGGGTGAGACTCTTACCTTCTGCTCGGCCTGTATAACAACCTAGTTTAGACCCTGTATCAAGCAATGAGGCTTTTTCAGGTAAAGAACATGCACTTGTCATTTCCAATCATAAAAGCGACGTCGACTGGCTTGTGGGTTGGGTTTTAGCCCAGGTGCACATCTTCGTAGTCGTTAAATTTCAATCCATTATATATTCATTAACTTGCGTGTCCTTCGGCGGTTGAATTTTGATTTTGCTATTGACAGCGTGCAGGTTGTCTTGGTAATGCGTTAGCTGTCATGAAGAACTCTTCAAAATTTTTGCCAGTGAGTTTGTAAATGCCAATTTTGTCCTCTCCCATTTTTAATGGAAATTATTGATTGCTCATTTTCCAGAATATATTATCCTTTGTGTCAATATCATAGAACACCAAAATATCTAAAGATGGTTTTTCATGCCTTTGAAGAAAGCAACCTTGTTGGTGCAGGGGAAGCGACGGCAACCCCAAGGAAATTTTTTTTTTCTTTTTACTGAATAAGAATATGTGTGACTCTCGTAAATAAATAAAATTATCCAAAAATTTTACTTTAATCTTCTCAAAAAGTTTAATCAAACTCTGCTTCTATATATAAGTAAATAAACCTAAACAACTTGGCTTCTTTCATGTTCTCAAATTGATCCACAGATTTCCAGCTTTGATTTGTTTATTTCCCTATTATTTATGCTTAGCCATTTAACTAATCTACATTAGCAGGAAAATGGATGATTTGCATGGTTTTAATTCTTGCATTAAATTTTATTACTTTTCTTTTTGTATTTGTATTTTCTAACACTAACAAGTAGTGACACAAAAAAGAGGTGCAGATAAAGTGGAGCAAAAAGCATTGATTAATAAACAATGAGTAAGTCCTCCATTAGTCCCTTAGCATGTCCAATTTGTTCAAATTGGTCCCATTACTTTAATTTGGACAAATATGGTCCCTCAACTTCAATTTGCTGTTAAACCAATTCCTATTCCAATTCATCCTCTCCGACTCTGGCAGCACCTAATTCATCATTAACTATATCCCCTATGCTCCAACCTCTCCATCACAGTTGATGCAAACAAAGTACCCAGGATTAACCAGGTCAGACTTGCAAGACTCATCGTACTAGATTAGTTGGAGGCTGGCGTTAGAGCAACTGGCAGCAGCGACAACAATGACAAAAGGTTGGAGCAAAGTGGACACACTCAAAAATATAGGAGGTGCTGCCGAGTTGGAGAGCACGGAGGGTGGAAGGGATTTGGACAGGCCATTAGTGAATGGACTAAATTTCCCTGCAAATTGAAGATGGATCACATTTGTCCAAATTAATTAAAGGTGACGGACCAATTTGAACAAATTGAACAAATTAAGGAACCAATGAAAGATTTAATTCATATAAAATAGTGTAGATTATGATGCTTGACCAGATAAATTCCACAAACTAACACCTATAGATCCATGTATAACAGTTAAATTGATTATTTAAACAAGAAATGATTATATTAGTTAATTAAGACCCTATTCTAATTTTGTAAAAATTCATGAAATGACAAAAAAATGTTGGTGTTCAGGTGTTGGGATGGTCTATGTGGTTTTCTGATTATGTCTTCCTAGAAAGAAGCTGGTCCAAAGATGAGAAGACATTGAAGGTAATCATAAACTTTTTCAATGGTTTTTATTGTTGCAATGTTTACGTATGTCGGATTATGAATTGCAGAGAGGGTTTCGGCGTCTAAAGGATTTCCCTCAGCCTTTTTGGATAGCTCTTTTTGTGGAAGGAACTCGATTTACACAGGAAAAGCTTTTAGCGGCTCAACAATATGCTGCCTCGGCTGGGTTGCCCATACCTAGGAATGTTCTAATTCCTCGTACTAAGGTTAGAATTTACTAAAGCTTGCTCCTTCCTGTAAATATCAATCATATAAGCTTTTTATATGTTATTGAATTATCCTGAGACAAGGGTTTTAATATTTTTTAGTATGCAAAATTTACGGCTGTGACATAGCTATTTCAGTTGATTACAAATGTGTGATCCTTTGCCTCTATTACCTCTCAGGGTTTTGTTTCTGCAACAAATGATATGAGGTCTTTTGTTCCTGCAATTTATGATGTAACAGTGGCTATTCCTAAAGATGAGCCTAATCCTACTATTTTAAGATTATTGAGGGGGCAGTCTTCTACGGTAAGGCAATAATTTCTAATGTCTGTAGGTCTAATTAATGTACTTTTTATGATGACTGTAGTTGTTTCATTGATGCAGATACACGTCCACATCAAGCGACATCTTATGAATGAGTTACCGGAAACAAATAGTGGTATTTCACAGTGGTGTAAAGACATGTTTGTGGCAAAGGTATGCAGAAAAGGATGCTACAGTTTGATTCATGGGCAACATAAATATGAGCAGTTTAGTGTGAACTGAATTATTCATTCATTTACCTTTTTTTCGTCGTCAAGGATGCTTTATTGGAGCAACACCTTCACAAGGGAGTGTTTGGTAACAAAGATTACCATGATATTGGGCGACCAAAAAAGTCGTTGTTTGTAAGTTATGGTTCATGTGCTTCAGAAAAACTGCATAAATGCAATTTTTCCTTTTGTTTTGTCCTTCTTTCCTTTCTTCTTCTCTTCTGTTTATATTCCCCATTTTGTTGTTTTGATTATGGACAGGTTATGATTGGTTGGTCGTCTTTCTTTTTGTTTGGCTGCATCAAGTGTTTTGAACGGCTTTTAGTTTTGCCTTCATGGGAAATATTCACAATCTCTGTTATTCTTGTGGCCGTTGTTATGATCATTATGCAGACCCTCATTATATTTTCTCAATCTGAATATTCAACCCCTCCCAAGTCACTTGCTACAGAACCATTGAGGGATAGCCTACTTCCAAAGTGAGTCGTCACAAGTGCTACAGAAGTCTTTCAATAGCATCAGTCAGTGGCTTCTTCTTCTTCTTCTTCTTCTTCTTTTTCTCACTATTATTATTATTTATTTGTTATTATTATTTATTTGTGGAGAAACTACAAATGTATAGCATCTCATATGAAGATTGTAGCTTCTTTTTGGCAACATGTACTATATTTATATTAAAGCTTTGTATCCTTGATACGCTTCTTGGGTGCTTGACAAATCATTTCTGGTTATCACTTGCTCTTAGTTGGGGTTTACCACAATTTTCCTGATTTGTTGCCAATTTTGCCTTAAAGTTTCTTGGTCACGTGGATGGAACATAAAATGGGAGAGGAGAGGCAAAAGGAAAAAAATTACTGTTGACGTTTGGGGGATTTGTTCTATTTCCTCTTTCGTTCTTTCGGTGTACAAGGAATGGAGGCAAGGAAAAAGGTGGAAGAATTTCATTAACAAATCCAACCATGACATGCACAAACATTAATCATTGCACTATATAACAACATAGAAGTAAGGTCTTTCTTTTTTAGTTTTATTGGCGTCATAGGATAAAACAAGAATGATGGCTGCTTTAAAGTGCAGATAATTTTGTGTAGGTTTTGGAATGCCTTGTCACTCAGTTGTCTTTGTGTGTATGATTTAGAAATACAACTATTTATTTTTAATGCCAAGTGTCGCAGGTGTTTTGCTATCTCTTAAAAAGATATACCTATTGAGTTATGCAACGCTACCGCTTATATCCTAATTTTTACTTTTTTCATATTTAATATAGAATTCGAAACACTTTCAGGGTGAGACATGACACTCCCCCCACCCCATTTTGTCAATGTTCTCATACTTATCTCCCTTTCAAGGCTCTTGCCATGAGTCCCATCATCAAATTGGTCTCTTAAGAGATACTCTAATACCGTTCATTATAAAATTCACTACAAGAAAATAGTCCTTTAGCGACAAAAAATTTTCGTTGCTAAACCAATAAAATCCGTCGCTAAATGCATTTAACGACGGATTTAGCGACGGAAAAAAATCCGTCGGTAAAACGGCTGTAGCTAATTTAGCAACGAAAATCAGCAACAGAAAATTAGCGACGGAATTTCCATCGCTAAATTACCAACGGAAATTCCGTCGCTAAATTACCAATGAAATTCCATCATTGATTTTACTTTTGGTTGAAAATTTTATAATTGAAATTTTGTTGATAATTTTTTTTCCAATATAAATGTCCATTTGTAATAAAAACATGTATTTCATTTTCATAATGATTCGTGTAATGAAAATAATGCAATTTGATCATAATTCATTAAAAACAACAATATAATCATATTAATAGAAAATACAACACAATCATGAAAATATATATAATATCCAACAAGTTTTCAAAGTTTTTCTCCAACATACATGTTTGCAAATTTAACCATACAACTACACATAATATAACAATGTTTTAAGAGACCAAAATAGAGAAATAAATAATAATCCTATTTTGGGTGACCATCGGCGGATTGATGAGCATCACGTGTAGATGAACTTGGACCAACATCTTGATTCATCTTTTGAATAACATCTTGGAGGAGAGATGGTACTGATGGTGTTTGTTGTTATTGCAATAAAATTGTTAAAACCTCGTAAAGAACCGCCTTCCTTCTTTTGTTTTCTCATAAAGAACTGCCTCTCTTTTTTTTGTTTCCTCGATAAGTTTTGCCATTTTTTTCTCCATTTTTTCTTTCATTTTTTTTCTCAAGTTTCTCAATGTTAGAAACAAAATATGGAGTTAATGGAGATGTATCATTAGGATATTGAGCAGAAGATGATTGTGATGTACTTAATACTTCATTAGCAAGCTTTTTGTATCTAAATCCATACACAAAACCCTTAGATATACCATCAGCTACTGCTATCCAAGAAGAAGTATCAAATCCAGGTCGAGGTGTAAAGTCATCACTACCATATCTTTGTGACTGAACATCCTCGTATTCATTCTGTTTACACAAGTAAAATAGGTACACTGAATTAGTTATAACATATTTGCTACTTATATATTAATAATAAGTAAAATAAAATTAATAATAAGTCAATCTTCTAATATACAAATGTGTAAGAAAGATGCACAGGGTCAGTCATTATCACTTCTCAATACATTTTTGAAGCTATAAAATAGTATATCATGTAAGTGAAAAAATAAAGAAGAAGAGTAAATTGGATAAGGAATATGCAATGAATGCATATTTAGATATGCAGTTTTTGATACAGAAAACAAGATCTATGCCAAAACTTTAACACTTCAACAACAAAGGCACCAGAAAAATCCTATAACAACAATTGTTCTGCATGCAGGTTTGTGTGCCATGTGCATGAGAGAAATAATATACTAAAATGCATGAGACGGTTAGATGAAACCAAGCAAATTTGCACGTGTTTATCTTAACGTGAGAGATTTTCCAATATATCTATGAGATTTCAGTTTAATTGTAATGAATTTATGAGTTTCTTAAATTTTGGGATGATTTTGCAGCATTGTTAAAATTTCAAGAATATGTTAAAAAATTTTCTATATTATAAGTTGCTGTAGATAAATTAGCACTATAATTAGGTGAATTACGAATGCTTTTGCAAGTAGGAAAATACGAGCCTAATGAAGCAAGTGATAAACTGACGTAATATTTCAGAGTCGAAAGGAATGGGCAGGTAGATATGGTAGCCGTTGAGAGTAGAAAGAGTGCAAAATGACGAATGAGGAAGCAGGGAGAAAACAATTCAAGCTATTGGCTAGTGGCTTGCAAACGCGGATTGCCTTGCCTGTCAAAAAGTAGGCCCACAATTTCCCAAACAGAAAATTAAGAAATCACAAAATAGGTCAATGTTAAAAATAGATAATGAATTACCATTCCACTTAAGATGAGCTCAGAAATGAGGAAGTTTAAAAAGAATTATGACTGGAGTATTTGCTGGTGATATGAATTTAAGTTCATGAACAGGACAACAGGGTTGCAAAGGATAAAAAGTTAAAAAACCAGGTCCAACTAAAAAATTGCAGGGGCCCTCTCCCTGCCTGTCCACATTGTTTATTTTCTAACTATTAACTTCTTTTAGCTTGAGTTTATTTACCTTTTAAATTATAGTGTACTTGCAAATTAAGACAATTTTCGTTCAAAATTTACTCAAATAAAACTTGTAATTCTCAATTTTTAATAACAAATAAACAACAATAACATAGAATTTCGTATAAAGCATTTATATTTTTTGTCTGTTCATCATTGCGAGTTCTTGGTTTCTCCTTTCGAGCCATCTAGGAAAATAATCTCAGGTTAGTTGTTGCTATAACAAGTTAACGTGACATTTAACTTTTACCACTTACAGCAAACAAATAAACAGAATTTGGAAATTGATTCCTTGCCTTATTTAGACCACTTGAAGTTTTTCCAGACCAGATCTCTTTTCTTCTCTCATATACTTTGCTTTGCTTCTTTGATTATTACCACTTGGAAAAAGTCTGATAGATAAAGACAAATGCCTAGGACGTCAAAGCCATTCAATCTTCAATACCGTAATGCTTTCAAACAAACTTGTCTCTTTCCTTTAGTTCGTGCCTCTCCCCAAGAGTCACTGAAAAATTCTTGACATAATTTCAGGAATTTCTTTATTTTAATGTTAATTCTCCAAAATAAATAATAATATAGAATATCCAAATTCAATTTTTTCTAAAAAAGAAAAGTTACCTAAAAAAAACTGCATCCTGAAAGAACTATTTATTTAAATTGGTCATTAATTTAATTGGTTTTGACGCTAACGGGCTGAAAGATCCGTGAAGCTAGCTCCAACCCGGCAGCCATAAACAGAAGTTCCTTTTTCTTCTTTGGATTGGATATGCAGCCATAAACAGCCCCAAATATATAAAAATAACTATACCTCAATCAAACACATTCAACAGTTATGGATTTCAAAAAAATAAAACACACTCAACAGTTAGGTGATCTCCGTTTAAAACAAAGAATGCAGCTTCAGTTATATCACCTAAAACAAGCAAAAAATGAACCAAGCAAAAATTAGAGAGCAAAAATAGATATATAACTTTCAGTTCAGCTAATCTTGCTCTGAATCTCAGCCGGAATCTCAAATCTACTCTGAATCTCAATCTCTACAGCTTCATTCCGAAATACTCATTTTCAAATGTTAGATGTAAAACAACTACAGATTTAAAATCTAAATCTAAAGCATGAAATATTAAAAAGAAAGAAATTTAACAAAGAAAGAAAGCTGCAGAGAGTGGTATAGGAGAGAGATCGAGAGAGATGGGGGCTGAGTATTTTGCAGGGCATTAGAGAGGGGCGGCAAAATTGGGTCTGTTCGTGCTGGGCATGAGAGAGAGAGAGAGAGAGAGAGAGAGAGAGGGGTAGAAAAGTGAGTTAAGTTAGGGTTGCTTGCACGGCATTAGAGAGAGAGAGAGAGAGAGAGAGAGAGAGAGAGAGGTGGAAGGTTGGGTCAACTTTGGAGGCTGGAGGCTGTTGACCAATTGGAGGGAAATTGTAAAAATTTCAGATGCCAACAAAGTTGGAGGTAGACGTGGTTCTAAAATCAACAAACCCGACAAAGTGCAATTGGTAACTAGATATGTTTATCTTGTACTTTCTTAAAATTTATTGCTGCAATGGTTTCCT